CCCGATACACCAGTCAAGTCATTCTCCTAGGCAGCATCTAGCCGTATATTCGCATGTATACTTAAAAACAGATTGCACTGTAAGTTGGTCACGCCAATCTTACGTTAAATGAAATACTTTACCAGCTGATTAATTATGTATGTTACTAATCATTAGTTGGGGCATGCTGCCACGGCATCTACTACGGGTCTGGAAAAAAGGGAACGGACCGGACCCAATCACCAGGCAATTAGTGTGTCCGTTAGGACACCTTCACTTTTCACTTGCTTCCTGACAGGTGTACGTGTCGGATAAGTACCTTTCCCACGACCCTACACACATATATATAGACGTCCGGGAGCAACAATAGATACCGTCCCCAGCCACTTGTGTTTTATATAAAAGAAAAATGTTGAAATGATAACACCACATTAGAGAAAGAAAAAATATTCCAATATTTGCATAACGTTCCAACAAGGCGACACTGTGTCAGTATCGGCCATTCTCTGGCTGTCTGTACGGTGATGGAGAGCGAACCAAAGCACCATAACTGCTCTTTAGCGATATTGTGTTAAAACAGACTTTGACAAATGGATCGGTGTTTAAATGAAGATCATACGTAAGTAAATTAATTACGACACCTACATATGTATATATACCAGACGGTTAAGTAGAAATCACACCTTGCCGGATAGCGTTAACGGACGTCCGACGGATAGCGTTAACGGACGTCCGACGGATAGCGTTAACGGACGTCCGACGGAGAGCGTTCACGGACGTCCGACGGAGAGCAAAGTTTTTCAATTCGTTTGTCTCCGTTCTCATGCGTTCCTGTTCGTTTGTCATTCGGTGAATGCGTCCTTGTCAGGTGATCAGGTCTGCTCAATCCGACGGAAAATTGTGTGCATGCAGAAAACATGGAACGGTCTCCACCGGACAAACGCGTCCGGTTGTTGTGGACTGGGCATGTGTTTTGTTCGGAAATCGTGCGTTCCTCGCCCTGTACTTGTCAGCTCGCATCCGTAGATGTCCGGTGGACGTGACCTGACTACTTGTCATTCAAAGGATGAGCCGGAGGTGTGCCGGACACAGAGCGCACGCTCAGTGTATGATTACTTACAAAGAACGCATGTGAACTGATGAATAACAAAAACAGACAGATCTTCACCGGGTTAGACACGGACAGTGACGTACATCCTCGAGGTGTATTTACGTGACTCAATCTCTCGTTATCCTTCTTGCATGTCAATGTCTGCCACTTGACCTGAACAAATAGGATCGAAGACCGTTTTGTCAGTTTCTTAGCGTTCCGCTTTCGTTTTACCCGGTCCTTGTCCGTTACTCGTACAGTGGTGTCCGTCACATTGTCCGGTAATTGTTCTGTACTTGTCCCCGTAATTGTTCTGTACTTGTCCGGTAATTGTTCTGTACTTGTCCGGTAGTTGTTCTGTACTTGTCCGGTAGTTACGCGGTCATTATGCGTTTGATTCGTTCCCACTCCGTTCGTGGTGAGAGCCTCGAGTAGCGATAGAGGCGACATTTTCACTACCGGATAACTTTCTTTCGCAAAGTTTCTGTCCGTCGGACGTCTGTTTACGCTATCAAGCAAGCTGTGACGACTAGGGGGAGATAGCCTCGTGCCGATTAGCACGTGTTCAATTGTGACGTCATTAAAATGCGTCATCGGTAACATTGTGACGTCATCAAAAGGGAATGACGATATGAATACCCCACATGTGTTTTTGTTTACAAACATTGCAGACTACTTTCGGTTGAGCTGTGACTGAAATAATAGGATGGGAGAAAAATAATCATCCCCTACCTTGAGGGTGTAGCAGAGAAATCTCCAACCCTCAGGCTGATTTTTCTGGGTTTTTAACCCTCGGCAGAGCCTCGGGTTAGACAACCAAAAAAAACACCACCCCTCGGGTTGGAGATTTCTCTGTCACACCCTCAAGGTAGGGGAAGATTCTATTAATCTTTCCCGGCTAACACGGGAGACACACGTGTGAAGGGTAGGAAGTGCGGATACACCTGTCCAGGGTAAGAGAAATTCCGGTCTAAAATGTCACCCAAAGATAATCGTGTTATGAATTTTAATTATTTTTTGACGGAGACGGTCACGACTCGCGGGAATGGATGTTTGTATTCTGTTGAGAATGGGGGTCAGATACCGGGGTAGCACACCAGGTGAGGGGACAGTAACACTATATTAGAGCTACAGTATATATATATATGTGATGTAATCAAATTTCGTGTTCATCGGTTATAAAATATTTTAATGTTGTTGTTATGAAACACTAAGTGAAGCATTATAAACATATTCATCAGTCTGTTACAGCCTACCTATCTGTCTCTAAGTGTCAACAGATTAACGTTAACCGCGTGCTAGCCCAGTGAACGACAGGTGAGATGTTGAATTGCATTCTCTCGATGACAAAACTGGGAAACACACAATTGCCAGTGAAAATCCACTCATCCAGTCCATGTTTACCAGCCTACCCACAGCCAAATCTCTGTAGGGCTACAACACCCTGTCACGCATCTCGTAGTAACGCCACGCCCCCCTTATACTGTAACATAGTCATAGGCTGACCACAACATACGGGCCGGGTACAGTACATGACTGGCTTAACTAAGGCACGCCGGACTGTAACGTCCTCATCCTCCAGAACGTCCTCATCCTCCTGGTCACATAAGGTCACGCCGGACTGTAACGTCCTCATCCTCCAGGTCACATAAGGTCACTCCGGGTCAGCACGAGCCATCTGTTTTTGTGATGTGATATACATATTTACCTAAAATATTGTTGAAGGCTGCCTGATAGATAGGTGTCGGACAGTTAGACGGAACTTTTGTTTAGGTAACAGTGCTAATAGTCATTCTGATTCATCACGCGCGATGTAGTTAAGTAACATTGTGCAAGTAGATGGGTAGGATCGTGAGAGTGTTAGATGTGTTTCGTTCATACACGGATTTCTTTGATTTCTTTGTGATGTTGATGAGGAAATAATTGGCTGGAACGTCGTCATAGATTACTACAATCCCTGGATTTATCCTTAATTAGTTGGACGACGCGAAGACTAAACAATCAGTGAATTCACATACGACAAAGGTTGGGACATGTTTCCAGCGATCCATATGAAAGCCGTTTTCTGAGTATCAGATCGAGTTCCGTTCCAATCACCACAAAAGGTGTGTCCATTTGCGGTCACCATCAGCCACACATGGTTCGGTGATGTGTCTAGTACGATGATTTGTGTGTTGACCATTCATGGACGATGCAATCCTACGGATGGAGAAACCACGTCAACATGATGTCCCTGCTGCAGGTCATAGAGAAAAAAACAAAGGTCAGTGGGGCACGTGCTCAGTTTCTGGTCACAGTTAGAGGGGCGGTCAGTGGGGCACGTGCTCAGTTCCTGGTCAACAGTTAGAGGGGCGGCGAGTGGAGCACGTGCTCAGTTCCTGGTCACAGTTAGAGGGGCGGCCAGTTGGGCACGTGCTCAGTTCCTTGTCAACAGTTAGAGGGGCGGCCAGTGGAGCACGTGCTCAGTTCCTGGTCACAGTTAGAGGGGCGGCCAGTTGGGCCCGTGCTCAGTTCCTGGTCAACAGTTAGAGGGGCGGCGAGTGGAGCACGTGCTCAGTTCCTGGTCACAGTTAGAGGGGGGGGCAGTTGGGCACGTGGTCAGTTCCTGGTCAACAGTTAGAGGGGCGGCCAGTGGGGCACGTGCTCAGTTCCTGGTCACAGGTAGAGGGGCGGCCAGTTGGGCACGTGCTCAGTTCCTTGTCAACAGTTAGAGGGGCGGCCAGTGGAGCACGTGCTCAGTTCCTGGTCACAGTTAGAGGGGCGGTCAGTGGGGCATGTGCTCAGTTCCTGGTCAACAGTTAGAGGGGCGGCCATTGGGACACGTGCTCAGTTCCTGGTCAACAGTTAAAGGGGCGGTCAGTGGGGCACGTGCTCAGTTCCTGGTCAACAGTTAGAGGGGCGGCGAGTGGAGCACGTGCTCAGTTCCTGGTCACAGTTAGAGGGGCGGCCAGTTGGGCCCGTGCTCAGTTCCTGGTCAACAGTTAGAGGGGCGGCGAGTGGAGCACGTGCTCAGTTCCTGGTCACAGTTAGAGGGGCGGTCAGTTGGGCACGTGCTCAGTTCCTGGTCAACAGTTAGAGGGGTAGATTATACTAATCAATCACAAAGAGGTATGCTAAACCCTAGGGACAGTCAGACCGCGCATGGTTGGTGCCATGCTTGTATTGTTTAAGGAAGTTGTTTGCTAAACAATATTATAAAAGAGATCGTATCATTGACTGCCAACACTTGACCGCCCCCCCCCCTCCAGCCACAAAATCCTATATCACTCTAACACCCCCACCCCGTCTACTTCCTCCAAGACGATCGATACCGGCCACGTCCGTTGATTGACCCTCCATCTTTTGGTCTTAGTTTACGCGCATGATCGGCTTACATGCGTACGATATTTGAAGTCAGCGCCTCCACATTCCAGCAGTACGCGCGACCCCATTCTTATAGATTTATGACTTAGGTTTGAGGAAAACTAGAAGTTATTCGTAAGAAAGTCTGCTTGGCTAACGGATTTTCAGTCAATGTTAAAGGAACTCCGATTTTCATTCTTCTTAATTTGGTCGGTGTCACACGAGATAGATTTCTAGTCTAACAGCGTCCTGTTCCGTAGATTAGTTTTTAATGAAGATGTCTGCTGCCTGGGAAAGCCACGGTATTTACCCCGTGTACTATGACTTTTTATAAAAAAGTTCCTACGTTTGTTATAAATATTTTATGTCCGGCAATTCACATTTATATATGTGGATCAACATATAAAATGTCTGGCCAATTGAGCGTGTTAACACATGATACACATGTGTCTATTCCATCGGACGTCAGTAAGAAAAATATATGTTAATGCCAGTTTACTACAACAAGAGGCCCATGGGCCTTAACGGTCACCTGATATATTTATACAGAGAGTTGATTTCGTTTTTAACATGAACAGAAATATTATTCAAAGTGACAAAAAACAATAAAACCACCTTATTCAATATCAAGCATACAGATTTCAGACTAAAAAGGATTTGAAACTAGCACCTCTGATTCTAAACAAGGAAAATGAAGAAATTTTAGCACACTGACTCCCTTGAGCCCCACCCTACAGCCCTTGGGGGTAGGGCTGGCTCAAAATTTTCAAAGTATCAAACTGTCAACTCAAGGTTATAATTCCAATCAAGTTATTAACATGTAATATTCAAA